TACTCACTGTTACACTATTCCGTTTCATGTGTTGCTGTTAACGGCAAGCCATCGCTTATATCCAGCCGTGCTGTGGCTGAGAAGGATTATTATGTCGAACCTCCATTTGCTTTCATCGGGCTAGAACCCTAAATATAATACAACTCCTCTCATAGTTCAAACTCCTTGATCTGAAATTCTCGCCCAAATTACACCGATCTATCTTCAGATCCTACCCGGGTCTGACAAATTGGTATTCAGAGCAAGGTTGTTCCTCGGCCACAAAAATTTTCATCCAAAGAAAGAGTAATCCCACCCAATTCCCTCCCCTTCAGTAGATCGGGACCGATTTGCACCAAGGCAGCGTGGGTGGCGGCGATCTGTACCAGGGTGGCGTTGGCGGCGGTGATTTGTACCAGGGTGGCGTAGGAGGCGGCGATTTGTTTGGCTACAAACCAGTAGCGCGGAGAGGTTGTTGGAGAACAATTCTCTGGTGGTAAAATTCCTTGTCTATCGCTGGTTCGTGCAACTCAGGAGGAGAGGATCGAGAGAGTCGGGTTACCGAATTATTTCGGCCATAAAATTCCTCCTCTCTCCCTCACATCAAGGCGATTGGCGCACCAAGGCGATCGATGACGCAGATCTGCAGGAGGTTCTCTCTCTGCGCGATGATTTCGGTGCTGTGCAGAAGGACAGTTCTCTGATGCACTCGGAGGTGGTGAAACTCCAGACCGATGTTCAATCCATGAGTAAGAAACAAGGAGATATAGCTCTGCAAGTTGGCAACGTGGAACAAGCTGTCATTGATGTGAGCAAACAACTATCGGCCATCAGCACAGTTTTGAAGAATATGGTGCTACCAAATTCTACCCAACAACCAGAGGCACAACTTCCCAGTTCCAATCAAGTAGTTAAATCACCTACTTTACATCAAGAACAACCTACAGACACAAGTGACAGACTTGAACAACTGAAGAAACGGTTAGCTGCTGAAAAAGAGAAATCAAGGCAAATGGAAGAGTTGCACCTGCAGAACTTACCACCAATTAGAACATCCAGACCTACAGTTCCACCAAGGTTTGCAACTCAGGGAAGACAGGAAACTGCTAGTGCTGTAGGAACACCTGTCACTGCAAGGCAAGAAGGCCACACCCCAGTTTTCAACAAATTTTACCAGCAAAACAGAGAGAAGCAGCTCTGGCAAGGATATTACAGAACATATGAGCAGGACATGCAGGCCCAGTTTATGAAATCCATAACTAAAGGACCAAAGCTGGATTTTCCTAAGTTCAGTGGTGAGGACCCAGTGGGTTGGATACGACAGTGTAACAAATACTTTCAAATGTGTGGAGCACCAGAGGAATATAAAGTCTCCCTAGCACAGATGTACATACAAGATGAAGCAGACACATGGTTAAGAAGATCTGGGTTACTCAAAAAGAAATTGTCCTGGAAGGAGTTTGGGGCAGAAGTAGTAAAAAGGTTCTCACAACAAGGATCATATGACTTAACTGATAAGTTCAACACATTAAAACAGGGCAGTATCACAATTTCTGTGTACACTAAAACATTTGAGGATTTGATGGCAAAAGTTCAAGAGGAAAATCCAGAATTGAATGAGCTATGGTTTGTGAGATTCTATGTAAATGGACTCAGAGAAGGGATTAAATTCCAAATTAGACCACACAAACCACAACACTGACTGATGCTTACTGCTTAGCAAGAGAAGTAGAACCTTGTCACCCTCCAGTGCTTCCTGTAGCCAAGAAACAGAACACTCCTTATTCCAACTACTACCAGAAACAACAATATACTATGCCCAGTAAACCAAATCCAACTTCTTCACAACAACCAGTTACAGTAGCCAAACAACCTGAAACTGCAACTATCAGTAATCAGAAATTCAAGAAACCTGGTGAGTGTTGGAGATGTGGGGACAAATGGGTCCCTGGACATAGATGCAAATTAATTCCAGATGTGCACATGATGCAACAGGAAACAATGGAACAACATGACACTACTGAAGAGCAGACTCCACCTGAGCAAGAGGAAATGATGGAGGAAGAAGAACAAGTTATGTTCATCTCTGCTCATGCATTGGGACAAACAGCTAGCTGTTACAACTCCCACAGTTATAGATCATGTTAATGGTAAAAGAGTTGTAGCCCTCCTAGACTCAGGAAATACAACTTCCTTCATGAGCCAGGATTTTGCTGTCAAATGTGGCTGTCAACTGCTTCCTGTTAAGCCAAGAACTATTGCCGTAGCTGGAGGAGGCAAGCTCATATCTTCAATTGTAGCACCTGCTTGTGAGTTTCAACTGGCAAAACTCAAGTTAACTCACAACTTTAGAGTTTTACCACTACCCAGTCATGATATTATTTTGGGATATGATTGGTTTTCTCTGGTTAGCCCTGTAGCATTTGATGTGCCTAAGAACAAATTCAGTTTCACTATCCAGGGCAAGCAAACTGTCACTACAGTTATATTCAACAACACTGAAATTGCAGAAGAAGTTCCAGCTAAAACAACAACAAAGCTATTGGAAAAAGGGGCAGAAGGATTTCTCCTCCAAATGCACAGCATTGTGCTGGCAGCTCCTGGGGGATTTAAAACACCACCACAAGTGCAGAAGCTCCTGTTGGAGTATGCTGATTTGTTTGAAGAACCTTCCAGCTTACCTCCTCTTAGGGAGAGTGACCATACTATTCCTCTTAAGCCTGGAATAGACCCACCTCATACTAGATCATACAGAGTTCCTCAACATCAGAAACGGGAAATGGAAGAACAAATCAAGAAGTTACTAGCAGCACACTTTATCAGGCACAACCAGAGTCCATATGCAGCTCCTGTAATTCTGGTAAAGAAAAAAGATGGATCTATGAGATTGTGCACTGATTTCAGGAAGTTAAATGTTGCTACTATCAAGAACAAATTTCCAATACCAGTGATTGAAGATCTATTGGATGAGTTACATGGAGCAAAGTACTTTTCTAAAATTGATTTGAGAGCTGGTTACCATCAAATTAGGATGCACCCTGATGATGTGCATAAAACAGCTTTCAGAACTTTTCTAGGGCATTTTGAGTACTTGGTCATGCCTTTTGACTGTCAAATGCTCCAGGAACATTTCAGGCAGTAATGAATAAGATCTTTGGGCCTTACCTCGGAAAATGTGTCCTAGTTTTCTTTGATGATATACTAATCTACGGCAAAACACTTGAAGAGCATAGGGAGCACATACAGACATTGTTGCAAGTGTTGAGAGAGAACAAGTTGTGTGCTAAACAATCTAAATGTGTGTTTGCTATTCAAGAAGTGGAATACCTTGGTCATATAATTTCAGCAGAGGGAGTAGCAACTGACCCTAAGAAAATCAAGGCCATTGCTGAGTGGCCCACACCAGATAATGTGACAAAAATAAGAAGTTTTCTGGGTTTGGCAGACTACTATAGAAGATTCATAAAAGGGTATGGAGTTATTTGCAGACCACTACATGATCTTCTTAAAAAGGGGCAGTTCTCATGGACAACTATTCATGACACATCATTTGCACAGCTTCAACAAGCCTTAATTACTGCCCCAGTTTTAGCACTCCCAAATTTCTCTCAGCCTTTTGTTTTAGAAACTGATGCTTCAGGCAAGGGCATTGGAGCAGTTTTAATGCAACAGGGCAGGCCAATAGCATATTATAGCTCTGCACTTTGCCCAAGAAATGCTGCATTGTCAACCTATGAAAAAGAAGCTTTGGCTATACTAGAAGCATTGAAAAGATGGAGACACTACCTCTTAGGCAGAGAACTGATAATCAAGACTAACCAACAATCACTCAAGTTCATCACTCATCAGAAACTAACTGAAGGTGTGCAACACAAACTAAGGATGAAGTTGTTGGAATTCAATTTCCAAATCCAGTACAAGAAAGGAGTTTGCAACAAAGTTGCTGATGCTCTTTCAAGAGTTCTACCTAGTTGCATGGCAATATCCACTGTCACACCTGTCTGGGCAGAGGAGTTAGTTCAGAGTTATCAACAGGATCCTAAAACCAAGGCATTACTGGAGAAGCTGTTACTCACTCCTGATAATACTCTGGAAGATCATAAATTAATTGCAGGAATCATCAGGTACAAAGGAAGAATTGTGGTGGGCAATATTCCTGCATTTAGAACAAGGTTGCTAGAATCATTGCACAATTCCCCTGTAGGAGGACATTCAGGAACTAGAGCAACATACCACAGAGTGAAAGCAATTTTCTACTGGCAGGGACTTAAATCATCAGTAGAGAAATTCATTGCTGCTTGTCCCATTTGCCAGAGAGCAAAACATGAAAACTGCCTGCAACCTGGACTGGTTGATCCAATACCTGTAGCTGATATGGCATGGTAACACATTTCTATGGATTTTATAGAAGGCCTTCCCAATTCACAAGGCAAGGAGGTAATTCTGGTAGTGGTTGACAGGTTTACTAAGTATGCTCATTTCCTGCCCCTCTCACATCCATACTCAGTTCTCACTGTGGCACAAGCACTTGTAGACAATGTCTTAAAGTTGCATGGCCCACCCAAGTTAATCATATCTGACAGAGACAGGATCTTTACCAGCAAGTTATGGAGAGACATTTTTTTGCTTGGAAGAGTGAACTGAGATTTAGCACTGCATATCATCCCCAGACTGATGGCCAAATAGAAAGAGTAAATCAATGTCTGAAAACTTATCTCAGATGCATGACAAGCACAGAACCCAAGAAATGGTGCTCATGGCTTCCATTAGCTGAGTTTTGGTATAATACTACCTACCACACTACTATCAAGATGTCCCCCTTCCAAGCTTTGTATGGTTTCCCACCACCCATGATTTCTGAGCTTGACATACCTGGTCCTCAGGAGGAGGAGGCACAGAATTTCCTGGAGGCTAAACAACAAATATTGGAGCACTTAAAATCCAATTTGCTCGAGGCCCAGAACAGAATGAAACGATATGCTGATCTCAAACGAGTGGAAGGGGTATTTGAAGTGGGTGATATGGTCTACCTTAAGATGGCACCTTATAGACTAGCAGCATTTGGATTCAGAGGTGCTTTGAAACTACAAAACAAGTACTATGGTGCATTTCTAATTGTGCAGAAGATAGACAATTCAGCTTATAAACTGCAATTTCCAGAGCATGTGCAAATACACCCAGTTTTCCATGTGAGTCAGCTCAAGAAGCATATTGGTCCCAATTTCATACCCAGCCCGAACCTGCCAATGGTCAACCAAGATGGCACCATCAAGACTGGCCCAACGGAGGTAGTGCAAGTTCGGCAAGTGCCTCGACACAATCTGCCAGTCGTCCAATGACTGATACAATGGGAAAATTTGTCAAAGACAGAAGCTACTTGGGAGAATGCTGACTTCATCAAATACTCGTTCCCAGCATTCTTCAAGAAGACAACTCAATCTTGGCGTGAAGCAGCCACTCTTGATTGCTGTTGCTTAGCTGCCAGCACAACGGAACGAAAACAAACAAAACAAGTGACGGATTGACGGCGGGGCCCGCACCACATCAGGAGTGTACACATGTAGCGTGGATCCAAGTAAAAACCAAGACGGCAGAACACGACTCGACGGCGCGGAGCAGCCAATCGCTCGCTCCGCGTTATCTCGTCGCCTCCACCCCTCCGCCCCATTCCCGCTGCCGCTGCCGCTGCTCCTCTCTCCTCTTAGCCCAAACACACCTCAGACCTCACCTCGCTCCCCGCCCCGCCGATCTCTTCTCTTCTAGGCTCGTCGGCGATGGCGGCTCCGGTGGTGGACGCCGAGTACCTGCGCCAGGTCGACAGGGCGCGCCGTGCCCTCCGCGCCCTCATCGCCTCCAAGGGATGCGCCCCCATCATGCTCCGCCTCGCGTACGTACTCCCAGCCCCAGTCTCCTGATCCTCTCCTACTCCATACTGCTGCTTCTGTTTGCTCGTCTGCTCCTGGTTCACGCGGCCTGAGAGGAGAGCTCGTGTTTTGCTTAAGCCCTGCGATTACCTACCGGCGTTGTTCCACTGCTGACTTGAGGCGCATGTCAGATTTGAACTAATGGGGTTGGTTTGTTACTGCCGCGGCCCTCAGATGCCAGGCCTCGCTGGCCTGTTTCATGTTTGTTGTATCGATTTCGGACGAGGCAATTTGACAAACACCTCACGTGCATGATTTTAGAGATTCCAGCGATTATGAATTTCGGCTGTATGCCACGATTATTATCTAATGAGGAGGGTATGGTATTTAGTTCACATGGACTATAGTGTTTTACAGTAGCAAGAGAAGTTGAGAACTGCCCCCACATGCCAAATAATCGGATAAGTGAGACGAATTGCTTGCCCGTTCTCGCACCTTGGCCTCTTGAACTTTTCTTTACATGTGGTGTTTTACAGAGATGGGTGCTGTTATATGCACTTGGGAAGAAATATGTGATGCACTAATAGGATCAGGTGCCCATGCACACTGGCAATGAAAGGGATAAAAACTTTGGCATTATCTGAAGTTCTGAACATGTAGCTTTTAACTTACGCACTTGATTTATTTTTTGATGTGTTGCAGGAAAGCAGGTATACACTGCTCCCTCTGCATTGTATAGATCTAATAAGTAACACCCATAAAACTACATCTGTCTTCCAATTGTTTGCCTGTATGGTTACGATTTTGTGTGTATCCTGGACTTCCTTGCTTTTCCATTTGGAAGACTCAATTTCTTCGGTCTCCCTTGCAGATGGCATGATGCTGGCACGTATGATGTGAACACAAGAACTGGTGGTGCAAATGGTTCAATTAGATACGAGGAAGAGTACACCCATGGTTCAAATGCTGGCTTAAAAATTGCTATTGATCTCCTCGGTATGTATTATATATTTACCCAATGCCCAATCTGGTAGTAGATGACTGTGTAAAAATACTCATTTTCCTATATGAGGGCTCTTTAGCCTAAGGAAATCAGTTTGGGCATTTTCATTAGTTTCTCATAAGTTAAAGCTCTGTTTCTATCGCTGTACGTCATGCAATGGCTTAAGGACAAGATTGCAATTGATTTTCCTTTGGAAAGTTAAACAGTTTAGGATGATTACACACGGAAATTAACAGTACCCTAGTTGGTCTGTTGTAAACTATTGCATCCTTATGTGTGCTGCTTTATTTGCATCACTGCATGCACAAGTAAGAGAATTCTTAAACGCTTCTATTTTATCTTCTGAGAGGGTCTAGACAGAATTGCAATTTGGTCCTAATGATACTCTGTCAAATCACGCGACTAACTAATTTCAGATTTGTTGGTTTATTGTTAAGCCGTTCCTTTCTTCGCTGCGGAAATAACTGAAATTGTTATTATAGCTTACTCAACTGTCCTTTGTTGCCAGAGCCTATTAAAGCGAAGCATCCAAAGATTACATATGCAGACCTTTATCAGGTAATTGACAATTTGGTTGAGTTGGCTCTTGTCTAAATTAAGCGAGTATTGATTGCTAAAACATCTATACTCCTCCACATATGTGAGCCGATGCTTCCTATTGAGTACAGCAAAACTGTGAATTCTATAGCTATTTACTAACTACATCTTACTTCCAGCTTGCTGGAGTAGTTGCAGTTGAAGTCACGGGGGGTCCAACTGTTGAGTTCATCCCTGGAAGACGTGTATGTGAAATATCATTTCTTCAGAAATGGATGCATTGTTCCTGATGCTTACATATTAACTGCTTTGGACCTGAATCAGGATTCGTCAGTTTGTCCCCGTGAAGGGCGCCTTCCTGATGCTAAGAAAGGTAACTATTGCTACTATTGTTTCTACCTGTCAATGTTTTCTTGCTATCTCAAGCAATTGATCAAAATGTGATCTAAGAAGTTATATGGCCAATGGCCTTATGGGCATATCAAATGTAGTTGCATCGATTATTTTCTGCACCCGTCTGCTCATGTCCATACACCATGCTCTTGGCATTTGATACTTTTTACCGTGTGAGATGGGATTTCAGGCATTCCAAGCAGTGCAGTTTTCTGGTTGTACTCGACCAATCTCCTCATGTACAGCTTTTACATGCATTTTTCTTCAGAAATTGGAGGCTTAACTACTCTTACCTTCACCTATCACCCGTATACTGGCCCTTTTACGTGTTATAGCTATTATTGCATGCTGATCTATGTTTCTTATGTCATTTGTTCATGTACAAGAGCTGTCTTTCTTTCTTTATATGATCAGTCTTCTAGGAGTACTTGTTGCACCTTGCAATCACATCCCAGTGACTGAGACATGTATCTGTATTATTTCTTCATGAGCAGGCGCACCACATCTGAGGGACATCTTTTATCGAATGGGCTTAACAGACAAAGATATTGTAGCACTATCTGGGGGCCACAGTCTGGTACTTGTTGTATTCTGTGAAGTAGGAGCACCTTTGCATCAGAAACACGGTATATAGTAATGGACTTTTTCTCTTAGGGAAAGGCACATCCTGAAAGGTCTGGGTTTGACGGTGCATGGACTCGTGATCCTCTGAAGTTTGACAACTCATACTTTCTGTGAGTTGAATACAAAGCCATAACATTTACGACTCCCTCCGATCCAGAATAATTGTCGCGGTTTTGAACTAAGGTTGAACTACCTTGGTTCAAAACCGCGACACTTGTTATGGATCGGAGGGACTTATTTTGGAGACTAGATTTGAGAAGGAGAATCAGTGTAACTGAAATGCTTGTTAACCTCACTGCAGTGAGCTACTGAAAGGGGAATCAGAAGGTCTTCTGAAGCTCCCTACTGATAAGGCATTGTTGGATGATCCTGAATTTAGACGCTATGTGGAGCTTTATGCAAAGGTGCACAGATTTTTGATATTTCCATAATCCAACTTTCAGATTCAGAACAATGTCTTATCTCTTTCGTACTGCAGGACGAGGATGCTTTCTTCAAGGACTACGCTGAATCACACAAGAAACTTTCTGAACTTGGCTTCACACCACGGATCAGTGGCGCAGCATCTACAAAATCAGATGTTTCAACTGCTGTTGTACTTGCACAGAGTGCAGTTGGGGTAGCAGTTGCGGCAGCTGTAGTCATCGCGGGCTACCTGTACGAGGCTTCCAAGAGGAGCAAGTAAGGGGTTTCATGAGTTCTTGGATGGCATTGCCTTGTTTAGTAAGTATCAAGTTATTCTTAAAAAAAATAAGTGCCAGGTTCAAATAACAAAACTCTAGTGATGAACAACCAACAGCAGTCTTAAAATATTTCAAACATTCTTGAGAACATCTCCTTCATGTATACATCATACTTGAATATTTCAGTGACAATGAATGCTTACTATTAAAAGCATTTTTGGGCATGTTTCTTGTGCAATACAAAAGATCTTGTTTGTGTCCTGAAAATATTTCTCAACCTAGTGTGCATATATTGACCAATAGAGACCATTCAACAGCGACAAGTTGGAACTTGTTTGAAGGGAATTTGGTGTAAGCAGCCCTGTTTGCAGCCCCATGGTTTTTTTTTACTTGCTGACGAGTGCCAACCGTGTGACACGCTAGATTATTTTGTACTTGTTGAGTACCAACCTTACGATACGTTTTCTAAAGAGGTAATCAAGTACATACGTTTTCTAAAGAGGTAATCAAGTACATCCTCGACAAGTAATTCTGGACAAGTTACAAGGGCAACCGACACGTGAACTCGCTGATGATCCATGCTGATCACACATCCACCTTCGGAATAGTCTATGATATCCTTGTGTTTTAATACTAACAATTGCGATTCTAAGCAAGGGTAACATGGACATAGTGATGTTCTTCTAGTGGGCTTGCCTTGACCAGAACTAGCCTTGGTTTTGCGATTGCGTGCACAACATAGTTAGTCACTAGCTCATCAACTTTGGAATAGCTCTGGGACCAAACTCTAGGAGAATCTCAAGGGTGAATTCAAGGTCAGCAATTGGAATGGGAAGTTCCATTTTCTTTGGATTTGAAACAGTAGCAGCCGAGAGCTGAGCTGGATTTGGGACCAAACGAACGACATGGTCACACATTTTTCAAATATATAAATGAAAGTAAATAGCCTGCAGTAACTTTGGAATTCTCTGGAGAACAGACAAGTGCAGCAGCTTTGGAATTGTGTCCAGAGCGTTGCTATAGGTACGATCAAACTTCATACAATTTTTGCATACGAGCAGACTGTTCTGGTGTAGTGGGGCCAAACGTTGGGAACGGGCCTGTGTCTTGTCGTACAAAATCGTATGGGGAAAATATCGTACGCAAGGCAGTTTCGTTGTCTGCAAGGTAGGGTAGCCGTAACTCTGCAGAAACAACACACGTTCCCCGGCGTCAGAGCGAGTGAGGTGCGCAAATGAAATGCCTATCAATATTGGTATACTTAAGGTCCATCGTTTGTTAGAGTAAAGACAAGGAAATTTTACGCAAGCCCACCCGTACAGCTCATGGTAGGGGGGGTGCAAGGCGGCATCCCGCAAGATCCGCTAGCTAGCACAAACTGAACTAGCACAGTAGAATTCAGCTACAACTAAGATTTTTTTTTTTTTTTTTTTTTTAGAAAAGCTACGACTAAGTTTCCCTGATTCCCTCTTTCCTATATGAAGCAGGACGGGTTCAGGCGCGGCTCTGCACCCCTAATTCCATGGATCCATATATGATAAGATGAGACATTTTAGGCAAGCCCTTCGGTGCAGCTCATGAGTTCATAGATCCATATGCCCGCGGCCACGCATCACGGATACAAATCAGTGTAGTGCTTATTTGTTTATATGTAATTACAATGAGAGAATGTTCTCTCGTATTCACCATGGTACAACGCATCACTGGCGCTTCGTTCGCGCGCATGAAACTCCATCCGGGCAACAAGGCGTGTACTACACGAAGAGCGTTCGCTTTCTTTATCTCCCGCGCGATGCAATCATCATCACTTAGTTTGAAACTGGCGACTATGATGAATCTCGGAGCTGTGACACGGTTCAACGTTGATGTTATGCATATTTTGGGAGTCTTGTCCATTTTCATTGTACCAAGATCACATGGAAGCAATTTCTTTTTTCCATTTACTCGACTCTGATACGGTTTGACATTGATGGTATCCATATTTTGGGAGTCTTGTCCATTTTCATCCGACCAAGATCACATGGAAACATTTTCCCATTTACCCTGTTCGCTCTGACTCCTCTCCTTCTCGCTTCGCACGGTCTCTTCACCATCACCATGTCTTGATTTTCGTCTGTGTTTGCTCTTCTTGCGCTTGGATCAGCCACACTCTTACAAGGTATGATCCCTCAATCCCTCTCATAGTCTCCGTGTTACACACTCATGTGTCAACGAGTTAGGCATGCATTGCCATTTTAGGGGCAGATTACTTCACAGGCTCGTTCGGGTTGGATCGAGGGGAGAGATTGGCTTGAGGGGCAACATGAGAAAGGGGATTGGAGGAAGATATCATGCAAGCAACGAAGCCATGTGTCAGAGTAAGATTGAATGTGTCACGTGTCGGAGCGAGGCCGCAAAGAGCTTTTGAGTGCTTTCATGTTTGGTACTATGAATAAGAACCCTAACACGAGAACAGAAAAATGCAGCGATATACAACTAGACAGATTACAAATATGGATACAACATAGAGCACCAAAGAATCAGATTAATCCAGATAGATGCAAATTTACCTGCATATGAAGCCATGTATTCAACTCCATTGGGGTTTTTTGGCATACGGTGGCAGTATATGTCGTTGGTGCGGATTCTTCTAGGGGTGAAGGTGTGCCGATCGGTGGGAGCACCGTCGAGTACAAGTGAGAAGATAGTAGATCTGCGGGATGATAGTGGAAACCAAGCGCACCAGCGGAAGGGGGGGGGAGGGTAGGAGAAGTTCATGTCTCATAAGCAAGCGCACGAGTGAAGTCAAGGTGAGAACAAAAAAATGGGTCGCATGCCAAAGCAAAGCAGTGGCATCTGTGGGAATAAACGAACTGAGCATGACGTTGGTGTCGAGTAAGTATCGGAAACGAAACCTAGCACTTTTATTTCGTGGTAGCAAGTTTTAGTTGTAAGAACTTATAATTTAAATCGGAAATATGATTTGAATATTGTAGGGAAAGCAAGGAATGTTTTTATTGAATTGAAGTATTGGTAAGGTTTCAATTCATACTGCAATCCAAGAAACAAACAGGAAACCCCTCTAGTATTATGTTCTTGCATGAATGTTAGCTTCTCTTGAACTTTCAATTTCGTCTGCTTTAGTACCTGCGGCCAGCCATTAGTAATCAAATTAGAGATACTTCTTGAGAAATAGAAACCCTTCAACTGAACCCAAATTCATAAACAAACACTAACTCGTGAACAATAAAGGATAAACCCTACATTCTACACTATAATGCCTAAACCCCAACCACTAAGGAGTAAAGTATAGTCGTCACATTGAGGAAAAACCTGTAACCTTAAAGCCCTAAAAAGTAATGTACAATACATAGAAACTAAACCCTAAACCCCAAACGCACACTAAACTAAAGAAAATATGCCCTAGAGGCAATAATAAAGTTATTATTTTATTTCCTTGTTCATGGTAATTGTCTATTGTTCATGCTATAATTGTGTTATCCGGAAATCGTAATACATGTGTGAATACATAGACCATAACATGTCCCTAGTGAGCCTCTAGTTAACTAGCTCGTTGATTAATAGATAGTCATGGTTTCCTGACTATGGACATTGGATATCATTGATAACGGGATCACATCATTAGGAGAATGATGTGATGGACAAGACCCAATCCTAAGCATAACACAAGATCGTGTAGTTCGTTTGCTAGAGCTTTTCCAATGTCAAGTATCATTTCCTTAGACCATGAGATCGTGTAACTCCCGGATGCCGTAGGAGTGCTTTGGGTGTACCAAACGTCACAACGTAACTGGGTGACTATAAAGGTATACTATAGGTATCCCCGAAAGTATCTGTTGGGTTGACACAGATCGAGACTGGGATTTGTCACTCCGTATGACGGAGAGGTATCTCTGAGCCCACTCGGTAATGCATCATCATAATGAGCTCAATGTGACCAAGTGTTTGGTCACTAGATCATGCATTACGGTACGAGTAAAGTGACTTGCCGGTAACGAGATTGAACGAGGTATTGGGATACCGACGATCGAATCTCGGGCAAGTAACGTACCGATTGACAAAGGGAATTGAATACGGGATTGATTGAATCCTCGACATCGTGGTTCATCCGATGAGATTATCGTGGAACATGTGGGAGCCAACATGGGTATCCAGATCCCGCTGTTGGTTATTGACCGGAGAGTCGTCTCGGTCATGTCTGCGTGTCTCCCGAACCCGTATGGTCTACACACTTAAGGTTCGGTGATGCTAGGGTTGTAGAGATATTAGTATGCGGTAACCCAAAAGTTTTTCGGAGTCCTGGATGAGATCCCGAATGTCACGAGGAGTTCCGGAATGGTCCAGAGGTGAAGATTTATATATAGAAAGTCCAGTTTCGGCCATCGGGAAAGTTTCGGGGGTAATCGGTATTGTACCGGGACCACCGGAAGGGTCCCGGGGGTCCACCGGGTGGGGCCACATATCCCGGAGGGCCCCATGGGCTGAAGTGGGAGGGGAACCAGCCCCTGGTGGGCTGGTGCGCCCCCCATGGGCCTCCCCTGCGCATAGGGTTGGAAACCCTAGGGGTCGGGGGCGCCCCACTTGGCTTGGGGGGCAAGTTTCCCTTGGCCGCCGCCTCCCCTTGGAGATCCCATCTCCTAGGGCCGGCGCCCCCCTAGGGGCCCTATATATAGTGGGGGGAGGGAGGGCAGCCATACCCAACTCCCTGGCGCCTCCCTCTCCCCTCGTAACACCTCTCTCTCTCTCGTTGAAGCTTGGCGAAGCCCTCCCGAGATCATCGCTGCTTCCACCACCACGCCGTCGTGCTGCTGGATCTCCATCAACCTCTCCTTCCCTTGCTGGATCAAGGAGGAGGATATGTCTTCCCAACCGTACGTGTGTTGAACGCGGAGGTGCCGTCCGTTCGGCACTCGGTCATCGGTGATTTGGATCACGACGTGTACGATTCCATCAACCCCGTTCTATTGAACGCTTCCGCTCGCGATCTACAAGGGTATGTAGA